TTCATTTCAAGCAATATTTTTGGTCATTGCACCTCGCTTTTTCCCCTTGATGCTGACTGACACAAGGAAGAAGCTTGAATGCTTTAAAAACTGTGACCAGGCCCTGAAGACAGGGAAACTAACATCTGCTTGGAATATGAGAGCAACTGTTTTAGCATCAGAAAGTACAGAAGAATAACCAGGAAAAAAAAGAAAAAGAAAAAAGCAGAAAAGTACAGAGCATACCAGAGAGAGAACTGCAGTAGATAGGAAAGGATGCAGGAGTCCTTGTGTCTGTCAAGGTTAAATGTTGACTTATATCAGTGCAGTAGGTTCTGGAAATAAGAACTTTTAAAGAGACTTTCAGGATTGTTGAATTACCAGATTCTCCCTGATTTACCGGTCTGATTTACCAGTCTAGGTCCCACATAGTCTTTATGTGCTGGCCAAATATCCACTGAAGACAGTAAAAGATTCCATTTAGCTTTGAAAGAAGCTAAAAAAGGAAGGCATTGCTGTACCCACCTGTATTGTCTTTCTGATTCCATTCATCTGTCCACATGGGGTTATATTTGCTTGTTCTTCTGGTTCTCATCATTAATTTGCTTCTGACATTGGCACTTTCTCTAAGAGACTAGATATTAGTACTCTCAATTACTTTGATATTTTTAGAGTATTACTGGATTAGCTATTTTTTTAATACAAAATTTTCTGATCTTAACTTTCTCTTTAAACATTTCAGGAGGGGAAAAAAAAAACAAAACAACATGGGTATCATGGTGTTTCGAGTTTTTCAAGTGTTTCAGCTGAGCTGTGGGCATTGACCATAGGCACATTTCTAGCCCCCTCCAAATGCTTCAAAAGCATGTTAACTTAATTGAATTTCAAGCTAGCACATTTTTCTTTGTATTTCTGGCAGGCTAAGAGCTAGCACATGGTCAATTACACTCTGGTCTGCTATCATATAGTAATTCGATCAGCCATAGCTCAACTGTTTCATTGAGCCCTGAAACAGACCTTCCAAAAATCTTGAATGAATAGTGCAAAGCAAGGGTGCCTTGACAAATATGTCTTTAATAAGACAAAATTTCTGAAAATTTTGTGATAGCTTATAAGAAAAAGTAGTGGTGCCTTTGACATTGAACAGGTTCCCGAGCAGAACCCAAATTTAGAAGATACACATGTAAAGTAATTTGGAACTTTATTCAGTATCAGCTTCTTCATCACTGACATCGATGACTCATCTATGACATCGATGGTCAAGTGCACCCTCAGCAAGATTTCCGGTGACAACAAACTGAATGGTGCAGTTGACACATTAGAAAGAAGGGATGCCATCCAGAGAGGTCAACAGAAAGGTGAGCCCATGTGAACCTAATGAGGTTCAACATAGCAAAATGCAAGGTTTTGCACTTGGGCTGGAGAAATCACCAATATGTATACAGACTGGGAGAAGAACTGCTTGAGAGCAGCCCTGCAGAGAAGGACCTGGGGGATGAAAAACTTATCACGAGCCAGCAGTGTATGGTTGCAGCTCAGAAAGCAAACAGTATCCGGGGCTCCATCAGAAGAGGGGTGGTCAGCAGGGACAGGCAGGTGATTGTACCCCTCTACTTTGTTCTCCTGAGACCCTATCTGGAGTACTGCGTCCAGGCCTGGAGCCCCCAGTACAGGAAAGATGTAGAGTTGCTGATGAGGGTCCAGAGGAAGGTCACAAAGATGATCAGGGTGCTGGAGCACCTCTCCTACAAAGACAGGCTGAGGGAGCTGGACTTGTTCAGCCTGGAGAAAAGAAGGCTGCAAGGAGACCTCATTGCGGTCTTACAGTATTTAAAAAGGGGATTATAAGCAGGAGGGAAATCAACTTTTTACAAGGGTAGACAATGTCAGGACAAAGGGGGAATGATTTTAAGCTCAGAGAGGGAAGGTTTAGATGATTGGATGCCAGGGAAAGTTCTTTACAGAGAAAGTGGTGATGTGCTGGAACAGGCTGCCCGGAGAGGTTGTGGGTGCTCCATCCCTGGAGGTGTTCAAGACTAGGTTGGATGGGGCCCTGGGCAGCCTGGTCTATACCAGATCTGGAGGTCGGTGGCCCTGCCTGTGGCAGGGGGTTGGAACTTATGATCCTTGGGGACCCTTCCAACCCAAACCATTCTATGATATTCTCCCTGGCAGATTAAAATGGGAAAATTACTTTTAGAAAATGCCCCTTTTTTATTTCAGTTTTTAATTACTTTGATTATGCTTATTAAATACCTATAGCAGTTTTTATCTGCTGTTTTTAAAAAAAAAAAAAAAAAAAAAAAAAAAAAAAAAGAAGAAAGCACCAGAAATTGCCTGAGGCATATACAATGACATAATTACATGTCTATAGAAGCAACATACAGAAAAATGTATTTTTTCTATAGTTAATTACGCTGAGCTTGAAAGATAGGAAGCCATGCAGAATTAAAAAGGTGCTGTTACATTGCCTACTGCAGGCCAGCAAATCAGGCTGTCTCATATTATATATATATAAGGATATATCAGGATGAAAATGTTGAAGCTTTCTGAGCTGTGTCATATGGTGTACGAGGGCAAAAGAAATCACCAAGAACTGGCAGTTCTGTTCCATGGAACATGTTTAAATGAGATCCTTCTTGTTGGCTCTTTTTTTTCTTTTGCATTCTTTCTTTTTTTGTTATTCTCTTCAGGCTTTTTGGTGTTTTTTGTTTGTTTGTTTGTTTTGTTTTGAAATGCATTGGCAATTCGTAGTGCAGGAGTTACCTTCTTTCACAGATGTTCGAGATATTAATTAAAAGTCTTTGGGAGGCCTTTTGCTGTTGTGTCTCAGATTGATGGAGAAGTTTCCTTCCACCTCCCTTTGACTCATACAACTATGAAATGAAAACTAGCAAATCCATGACCCTTTTGGAAAACATTGCTTCTGTTCCACTTCCCTTTCCTGCAAAAAGAGAACAGTGAGAAGAGTGCCTTCTGTGTCTCATGAGATTCTAAGAACTAATGCAGTAATTTCTGTCAAGTGCTTTGGAACCCCTTTACAAGAAGCACAGTCTAAGTTCAACATGTGAACGCTTTTATTCCCTTGATAATGTTTGGTAATATGTTGGGTTAAGTACCATTAATTACAATGCTACTTACATGGCTTAATCTCAATACACTGTTATAATTTACTGCTTTGTCTATATATAGCTGAACTTTTAATTGGATAATCAAAATTATTTTATTTCCTTCTTGTAACTTCATTTATGAGGGAAATTATAAGCTAAAGAGTACAACAGATTGAGTAATGAACAGTAATAAATTTTTATTTTAATGTGAAAAGCCAAAAAAAAAATTAAAAATAAAAGGTTATAAAAACAAAATAGAAGCAGAAAAGGATATATACACACAAGTATCAGTTTCATGCCATGATAAAAACTAGAGGTAACTTTAGGACGCAAGACCATCTTTGATTTTAGTGCAGCAGCGCTGCACCCCAGATGAATATTTTATTGTCTATTAGTTTAATTCTACATTAATTTTAAAACATGATGTGGAGCTCTATTGAAATTAAGATGTAATAAAATTAACTAAGCATCTACTACTATAGGAAATTTGGAGCATTGGGTTATAAGATTGCTGATGCTAAAGACTTGCAACAAGTTGTTTTCTCTATTGAAGGTATTACAACATTTATTAATTGGAAAAAGGCAGATATTAATTGGTTTCAGGACAATATGCAGGTATTGAGTTTTCACCAGCAGTGGGAATACGATTTTGTCATAGACGCCTCTCAAAGTGCTCTGCTTACTGTGACATCTCCAGGAGGCTGACATTCAGTGTCAGGTTATGTTGCTATATGTAATAAGTGCGTATTGTCTGGCTTCCATTTTGGACCAGGCCTTCAATTTCTTTGTATCAGGCACTTGTGCAAGTTGACTTAGAATTTTTAGAGCATATTTGCAGAAAGACTGTGCTAAATGGGTTGTAAGCATAAACACTTATGTATCTGTCTGATCCTGTGAAGAACTGTCATGAATCCTGTATCTTTATCTGATTTTGAATTATTGTTTAAATAAGCTGAAATTGAAGAAGGCAACTGATTTTTTTGTTTGTTTGTAGCATTTGACAGCTGCAAGAAATTGCATGAAAGGAAAGAATATCAAAGGCTTGAGTATCAAAATCTTCACTTACAAGCTACGTTTATTGAGTAATCATGCTTGTTTAATAACCACAGCTTAAAGCACATGACCCATAGGAACAAATAATTGTGTATAATAACCTGGAGCTTCTACCTAACAGTATTTGTTCTATCTGGAATTACGTAGAGTTTTAGAATAAATATTTAGTAATTTGGACATCAGAGGAAAAAATGGCCTCATAGAGAAGATAGTATGTATACGGAAGTAATGGTAACAGATCTGGACCAGTGATAACAGATGTTCCAATAGTATGAAATGCTTATTCGTAAAACATTTAATGATACAAAAATTGAGCTTGATTTCAGCATGTTCATATTCTTCTTCTTTGCGCTTTTTCTTTGTGTTTATGAACAGTGAAATTGAGATCCTGAAGATGAGATTCATTTAAGAAAATGAAATTGAGTGTAATAAGAAAATGACTTTATCTTTAGATTGAGATATCCAACTGAGAAACCCCAGAAATAGAAACGAGACCCGTGTAGTTTAAATGACTAGCCACAAAGCGTGACATATGAATTCCAAATATCAAATAATAAACCGAATACTTGAATGTATCTGTTAAATGTATTTGAGAAAATTTGCATAATGAATAACTTCATAAAATTGTAGAGCTGCTGGCAGACAATTTTGCAAACAGGAAGGAAGCTGCATTTACCTCATAAATTGCTTGCAGTGAATAATGTTAATGTTTTAAAATGGTGAATGAAATTTCCTGAACAATGGAACTTTCCATCCAGTTTATAGAGAAAAATAGTTTAGTTTTTCAGTATGCTTGGATTTTTCAGGTTAATCCTTTAATCAGACAGATAACATGGGTTCTCTGTGTTTTCCTGACAGACCAGCAGTACTCATGGTCGCCTTCTCACCACTTCAATGAAGAAAGATATTCTCCTGCTTCGAGGAATATGAAAGGATTATCTGGCAGTCGCAACCAACCACAGTTATGTTCAGCTCATACTTGTGGCTTAGCATCCCCTGAAGATTGTGAACACACCCACGACCATATTCACCATGGGCAGGAACCAAGGCAATCGTATCTTCTCAGCCCCACGGAGAGTTGCCCGATGGACCACCATCGTTGCTCGCCACGCAGCTCCATTCATTCTGAATGCATGATGATGCCCATGGTAATGGGCGATCACATGTCAAGTAGCACTTTCCCCAGAATGCACTACAGCTCACATTACGACACAAGAGACGACTGCGCCATGTCTCACGGTAACCCTAAGATTAACCGCATTCCTGCAAACCTTTTGGACCAGTTTGAAAAACAACTTCCTCTTCACCGGGATGGGTTTCACACTTTACAGTACCAGAGGACCTCAACAGCTGCAGAACAACGCAGTGAGAGCCCAGGAAGAATACGCCATCTCGTTCATTCAGTCCAGAAACTTTTTACTAAATCTCATTCTCTGGAAGGATCATCCAAGGGCAATGTCAATGGAACAAAGGGAGACAGTCGAGGGGACGATCATCATCATGGGCACCATTCCAAGCATAGCAAAAGGAGTAAAAGTAAGGAGCGAAAACCAGAAACCAAGCATAAATCTGGAATGAGCAGTTGGTGGAGCTCTGATGACAATTTGGACAGTGATAGCACTTATCGAACCCCTAGTGTGGTAAATAGGCACCATGCAGATCATATATCCCATTGCTACCCTGAGGCGCTCCAGGGACATTTTGGGGATCTGTCATTGAAGACTTCCAAAAGTAACAATGACGTGAAATGTTCAGCTTGTGAAGGGCTAGCAATGACCCCTGATAGTAAATATATGAAAAGGAGTTCTTGGTCCACACTAACAGTAAGTCAGGCTAAAGAAGCTTATCGCAAATCATCACTGAACTTAGATAAGCCTCTGGTTCATCAGGAAATCAAACCTTCCTTGAGGCCATGCCATTACCTTCAGGTAAGAAGATTTTCTTAACATTTGTAATGGGAAAAGCAACACAGATGATGCATAGTTGTGAAAATGCAGAAGTCGTGTATATCTCTCTGATGATCATCTGTATCTCACCTAATGCAAATGTTCCATTACAGTGAGAAAACTCTTGCTTTATTCTTTTTCTGTAGGGAATAGACTAAATAAATAAATACAGGAGATGTGATATAAATTAGTTTAAGATCAGGAAATCTGTTGCAATCTTCAGAGTTCGTGCTGCACATCCCAATTAAAATCCATAGCTCAGACTGAAAAAGAGGCAGTTCTCCCAGCAGTCTGGAGCTAGAAATAATGTGTCAAGTACAACTGTAAATGAGTGATTTTAAAAGCAGGTGGTGTGGAGTCCTATTTTTGTGTTAATTTATTCCTTTCGCCAGGTTGTTTAAGTAACAAGAGAATACATTTACTGGCATACTCAATTGCTTTGTCTTGATGATGATTACTCACAAAGTTCCTTTTAGTGACTGGGTCAATCAAAATCATATTGAGCTGAGCTTCTTTTGAAATCATACTATAAGCTATGCTTGTTAATAATTACAGGAATACCTTGAGAAGATAGGTATTTCAGTCCTAGTACTCAGACTATTTGTGATGTTCCCCACTCTTGTTTTCTCTAGCAGCTCTCACTTTCTCCTAGATTTAAACTCTTAATGTGTTGCTTGCTGCCATTTGCTGCCTCAGAATCATGCAGATGTAACCATTTATGATGCTGCACAATGATCTGAATCCTGAATTGATAAGGGCTTAAAAAATAGTTCCAAAATATTTCTTTTTGGACATTTACACCACTTACATGGTGTAGGTACAGCAAAGTGCCATGAAAGTATGAGTAGCACCTCAGGGCATACAGAGAACTGCAGTGGGAGCTGTGCAGAAAGAGGGAGCAGCTGGGGGGGGGACTTCTTTAGCTGTCATTGCCACTGGAAAAAACACATTATACAAATATTCCCCCTGGTAGTTTTACCAAGTACAGCCTGCAAAGCCAAAGTTGTTCTGAGTATCTTCTTTTTGATTTCTTTTTAATGAACTTTCTCCAGAATTTAACTGGCTCTCACATTAACACAGGCAAATCTTCACTCCAGATTTATGTATTTAGAGATCTCCAGTTCCTATGGGCTCTGCAAAAGCCAACAGACACAGACTGCTGCCTACTTCTGTGTGGAACTCTCTTCCCTCTGAGCAATAGGGGACCAATCTTACTGAGTCACACTTGAAGGGACAGATCTTTTCAAATACGTACGCAGCCATCCAGGATCAATCTTCCTACTTAAAGAGGGAAAGTTTGTCATCGAAGAGAAAGGAAAATAAATAAGTTGCAACCCTCATAACATTTCAGTGCAAATTGATTCCCATTAAGGCTGACAGCTGTAATATTGTTTCATATCCAAGTCCAGTTCTCATGCATGTAAAATGACCTGCCCTGCCCTGGAAGCTTTAAACCAGTTCAATGAGCCAGAACTGGAAGCGCATCTTGTACAGAGACCTCCACTTCTGTCTGTGTTATAAAACCAAGGATGTGGATCTTACATTATGAAGAAATGCAGATTTTGCTGGCTTTTTCCTTAGTGTGATATCCTTATACTTCCACTCATAGAACTCTACATCTTCTGCATCTTTGTTGGGTTTCTTGATTTCCTTTTCATCATGTTTCAAGTCAAACAGTTATGTGATTTTATGTTTCCTTGTTTGGTTGGTTGTTTTTTTTATTATTTCACTTTTACAACACAATTTCTCCTTGCAGAAGCCACTATTTTTTACACGAACCCTGCCCTTATTTCCATCCTTTATCAGCATCCTCAAGTGAATGTGAAACACAGAGCTCAAACATTAACTTCATTACTACTAAGCTTTGGGTCAAGCCCAGTGGCAGTTCTAGGGAACAGGAAAATATTTTTTTACTTTTTTTTTTTTTTCCAGAAGTTTTGTTTTATGCTTTTGGTGAATCAGGGATAACTGCTAGAAAGAAGTTTCATCCAGCAATTAGAAAGGTTCATCAACTGATAGGTCCATCCAATTTAAAATCTGGGAGATATGAATTTAGATTTTTGCTATACCAGAGAGACTTCCTCTATGATCTTTGGCTTTAAGCTTCTTTTAAAATGGGACACTAACCATTCTGTAATTCACAGAGATGCTATAGTGTCAATCTGTCTAGACTTAAAGGCTCAGTTACTATAATAAACAATTTATAGCTGTGTCCAAAGCAATAATACAAGGAATTATATGTCATGAATTTTTACTGCGAAATTTTCAATTAAAATATATGTTTGTAGAATCTGCATTCAGTGCGTTGATATCTTTCAGATTGATTGGCGTGCTTATTCACTAGCCCAAGGTCAGCAAACAAATGAAGGGACCCCATTCTGTCAGTGTCCTAGCTAAATGCAAGGGTTTGAAACTTCTCTGTTAAAGGATGCTGCACTGTCACAATGTAATCATTAAGACCAGGGATATAAATCCCATCATTAGCTCTGCCGTGAACTTTCTCTCTGACCCAGGAAATGTAATTTGTTAATCAGCACAGATTTCAATGAATCTGTCTGCAAAACCGGGGAAGGATATTTAACTTTTCTTACAGCAGTGAAAGAAGCATCAGTAAATAATGACTGGATGAAAACAATCACCAGGTTGAGAAATTGAGCAAGGTAGAGAAAGGTCTCAGGATCCCTAGCCAGAAGAGTTTCCTACAGCGCTCTACAATATCTGGAAATGAGAATGTTCTAGGGATTATGAAGTTCATTGTGCAGCAGTGGTTTCCCTGAGGTACATAAGTGTGCAGTTAAGCTTGAAGCCCCCAGGTATTTGTTAGATCCTTGTGTTTATAGAATTACAGCACATGTCATTAAAAGATGTTTCTCCTTAGTGATGCCAACTGAATCTGAGTCATTTTTCTATCCAGTGGTCTTAGTTTTACTTTCAATATCATCAATGAAATATTACTACTTGTGTTTTACACTGGAGAATTTTGGCAAACATTGTTTTTAGCTGGAAGTGCACGGCGTTTTCTTAGACCTGTACTTGAAACCACCTTCTGTCTGTCTTGCTCTGAGCTTCCATTTTCTCTTCCATAGTAATTACTGAGTTGTAATTTCCTTAAAACCAAACCTTCAAAGGATTAAGAAGGGAAATTGCTTTCTAAGAAGTGAGCTTCTGTCGTATTCACAGATGATTAAAAACAGGAGAAAAGAGGTGATAAAAGCATCTGTGTATTATATGCTTGAGTCATGTCCTAGACCAGAAAGGAGGCATTTCTTTAACCTGTTAAAGTTCCAAGCTAGCCTTTGGCTCTCTTGTAGGGCTTCTCACATTCCTGCTCTCCCACACACCTTGTAGCTGGAGGGTTCCTGCTCAGGCAGTGTCCAAGTCAGGGGTGGTTCGTATGATCATATATATGGTCATACTGTTCTCCATGCCACCTAGATCATTTACCTTATTTCAGCATGGCTGGAATTGCCCTAAAATGGCCAGTTTCAGAGAACAAAATTAGTAGGCATAAAGCTGTATGAAGCTGATTGTTGTTGTGATCTAAAACTTCATTACCAGACCAGATTTGTATCACTCCTGATACCATGCAGACTGGAGAAGGGAGCAGGGATGAGTGGGAGTACCTTTGAGCTCCAGCAACTGTTAAACCACCTTAGCTGTAACGTGAACCCGGACCAGCTAGCTAGCACAGCAGTCAGTTCAAGAGCAGAGAGCAGTCATTTTGTAACTGAATACTGATAGCATTTATTAAAATCTTGTGAATGATTAGCAAGTTTTACTTATAGGCCTTCAATTTCAGTTTCTAATGCAGACAAACTGAGCTACAAATGCATTTTTTGTGCACCAAACGTTTTTGTCATCTCTCTCTGTAGGCAGAATAATCCATGGAGATCACACACATATTTTAAGTGTACTTTTGTGTAGCTTTAACTGTAGTGGCTGTTACTGCTCTCCATATCATTTTAATTTTAATGTAAAATATGTAAAGAAAAAAGATAGATGAATTTTGAGAGTTCTGTTATCTTCATTGGTTGGTTTTGCTAATTAGTTTCAACGCATACATAGTGCAATGATGGATTAATTTTAACTTGACATGAGTGAGAAGCAAAGATTTTCAACAGGAAGAAAAAAAAAGTGTATGAACTAGATAGCTGTACAAAACTTATGAATACAGAAGTGTGCCTCATAGTTTCCAGGGCTGAAATACCTGTGAGCGTTAGTTAAAGAAAACTGATTCCTACAGTAAAGCCAAAACACAGCCAAAAGCATAGCAGTTACCATCTCTGAAGTTCTGGAGCACGGTGCTGCCTGTTCCTGATTAATATTCCTCCCTCAGCCATTCAGCAGCCTGTGAAGCAGCAAGCAATCAAGGTAAACATACCACAAGGTACAGTGAATGAGTCAGCAGTGAAAAAGAAAATAGCATGTTGTTCTAAAAATGGCTTCAGCCCACTCCTGCCTTCCTACTGCATTTAAGAACGAGCGTCATCCATTACAGCACTGGCACTGCTAAGCTTGTGGGTAATAATGTCAGCTGTGTACTCCACAGAATGAAAGAGAAACTCAAGAGTTGGTCTCTTAAAAAAGAAAAAGGAAAAAAAAAAAAAAAACCACAGCTGTTTCAACAAGGCTCTTTGCTGGTTTAAACTATACTTGTATGGAGAAGAGTTTTGAGGACAAGCCAATGGAGTAATAGGCATTAAGCTCTCAGTTGCATTTTTCCACGAACTCATCTGTGGGCAAGGCATAGTCCCACAAACTCAATTGCTGCTCTGGAAAGGCACGTGCTGCACAGCATTCCTCCCCTGGTGTGCGAGGATGGGTTTGAACCCAAAGACATTTCTCAGCACTTCATTTTTGAAATGCTGAGAAATGAGATTGTGTCTGTTGGCCCAACATAACACCCATATATGAGCTACAAAAATGACATCCAGTACTCCACCAGCCAAAGCTAGCAGACTTTTGGTACTACTGTCTGAGCC